TAGAGAGAGAGAGAGAGAGAGAGAGAGGGGGAGAGTTTTTTTTTGTAGTAGCATTGTGCTTCAACAATGGTTCCGATGCCGATAGTAAATGCCTTCCAATCTAACTGCATCTTACGCAACACCACCCAAAAACCCAATGCCAGCACTCCCCAAATCCCTTTCACTCCACAAGAAAATTCATCAAATTTCCACCAAAAAATTCCGACACTCCCTGATCCTAACACGTATAATTCACTCCTGCGCTCTTGTTCATCCGAAAAATCAATTCATCAAGGGAAGCAAATCCATGCCCGTGTAATAACTTCTGGTGCCTCAACAAACACTCAATTGGAAACCACTCTAGTCACCATGTATACAAAATGTGGTTACTTGGAAGATGCTTATCAGTTGTTTGACAGAGTGCATCAACCAAATTTAGTAGCATTATCCACGCTTGTTGGTGCTTTTGCAAAGTTTGGTATGTTTGAAGAAGCTCTCAATCTCTATTGTGATGCTTTAGAGATGAGTTTGCAGCCTGATGAATTCGTGTACCCGTCGGTTCTAAAAGCATGTTCAGGACTTGATGAACTTAGAATTGGTACCCAAATCCACTCTTCTATAATGAAGAGTGGCATCAATGAGTACAGCATGTTTGTTAACAGTGCTCTGGTAGACATGTATTCGAAATGCGGATGCATAGAGCTTGCTGAAAGAGTGTTCAACACGATGCATGAGAGAGACGGGACTTCGTGGAACTCGATGATATCAGGGTTGGCTCAACATGGCAGAGAAGGTGAGGCGTTGAATTTGGTTAGAGAGATGGAATTGTATGGACCCAAACCAGATTGTATATCATGGAATTTGCTTATCACAGTGTTTGGCCAGACAAACCAGATCGATGAGGCAATTGGGTTGTTTCGAGAAGCTCAGAAATCGGGGTTTGATAGAAATGTCATCCTTTGGAATTCGGTTATTTCAGTTTGTGCAAAAGCTGGACGATATAGTGAAGTTTTTGGGTTCATGGGGGAGATGATAGGATCAGATGTATGGCCTAACACAGTCACATGGAACTCAATTATTTCTGGTTTTGTTCAGAATGAAATGTATCCACAAGCTGAGAAGGCTTTTAGCAAAATGCTGAGAACCGGGTTCGAACCCAATTCGGTTACTATAACATGCATGCTTCTAGCCTTTGCTGATGCAAATGAATTAGGGTTTGCACGTCAGCTGCATGGGCATATTATCAAGATGGAGCCGGTTCAGGACACACGAGTTTGGAATTCTCTCTTGGATGTGTATGCAAAATGTGGTCAGATAGAAGAGGCGGTCCTCCTGTTTAAGAAGATCTCCTCTGGTTCTAGGAATCCAGTTCCATGGAATTCTATGTTATCTGGCTATTTCCTCCATGGATGCTTCGACGCCGCCATTGAAATGTTTGAGGAGATGAAGGTTTCGGGAGTTGAACCAACTGTTATCACATGGAATACTTTGATATCAGGGTGTGTGAGAAATGGGTTTCTTGGGAAATCGATTGAATTGTTGTTAAAGATGCAGGTTGCCAGAATCCGGCCAGATGCTAGCAGCCTTTCATCGATTTTGCCGGCAATTGCCAATATGGCATCTCTAAGATTGGCCAAGCAAATACATGGTTATGCAATAAGATCCAATTGTTTCTCTCTCAAGGTAGTTTCCAACTCTCTCCTTGACACTTACACAAAGTGCGGGAGCTTAAAAGATGGCATCCATGTTTTCAATGGGATCTATGAACCCGACTTGGTTTCTTTTACTGCGATGATTGCTGGATATGCAGCACACGGAGACTGCAAAGAAGCTCTCGATCTTTTCTCGCTCATGAGAGAATTGGATATTAGGCCAACTAGCATGACCTTCACTGCAATTTTATGTGCTTGTGTTCATGTCGGAGATTTAAAATCCAGTGAGGAGATTTTCAATAGCATGTTGCCGGAATATGGGATATGTCCGGCGATACAACACTATTCGTGCATGGTGGACCTTCTTGGAAGAGCTGGAAAACTAGAGAGGGCTTGGAAATTTATCGAAGAGATGCCTATAGAGCCTGATGGGGAAATGTGGGGGAGCTTGCTCACTGCTTGTTTTGTCCACCAAAACCTAATGTTGGCCAAAAGAGTGGCCGATCGTCTCTTAGCTTTGGATCCAAACCACACAGGGTGTTTGTTGCTTCTCTCTAACATACATGCGACAAATGGTGAATGGGAGAATGTTGTAAGAGTGAGAAAAAACTTGAGGAGTTCAGGCATCAGGAAAGAACCGGGGTGCAGTTGGATAGAAGTGGAAGACAAGGTACATGTTTTTGCATCTCGAGACTGACTCACCCACCCAAACAATAAAATGGTATCCCTAAAATTCTTGAGAGATATACTGATAGTAATCGGATAAGAATGGGTCTCTGTAGGCTCAATACAAACCGTGCTGTGTGATGTTTCAGAAAACTTGTAAGAATAGACAATCATTTGATTTGGGTTCAGATGATCCAACGATCCCTATGTTTTTCAATTACCAAAGGCTTTTAGCCACTCTACCAAAGGGCCTATGCATGTGGAGACTGTCATATAGCTGCCATGCTCATGCAAGAGAGAGAGAGAGAGAGAGAGATGGCAGCTCCACTATTCTTGAGATGGGTAATGTGCCTTTGTCGAATTCTGGTCATCCTGTTTTGGTTTGTGTCCTCTACGTCAAGAAGAATAAGATATCAACCAACCTAAAATACCCTTGAACCATCGAGTGTACGACATAGAACTTAGATTGCAGTAACAATTTTTTTTTTGAAAATAGGCATAAAGTGAGTAGGCCAAAACTTAGACAATTCAATGTGTGTGTGCATTTGTGCCCGAGTGTGTGTATATTCTCCTCGGTCATTGAAATGGAAGTCCTACCGTACATTTGAGCCCAAGGGAAGAACTCATTCAAACATTGATAACTGAAGAATGCGCACCAGCATCACATAACTTAACAAAAATTGAATCTCAGAGACCTTTTTGTCCAGATATTTCAAACGTTTTATCTCGCTCCTAAGATAAAGAAAAGCATGTTGAATGGATTCAACCGCACAAAGAAGGCAGCCCCCGGTAAATGTAAATGGCCTTGAAACATGTCTTTGACAAGTTTTACGAGCTCTGCAGATACCTGCATATCTGCTTTTGACACACGTGGAACAAGCCAATGCCCCAGCAGATGTGCTCGCAAAAGGGTGCTGATTGTGCAAGGTTGGGCATCTCTCAGCACAACCCATTAAAAGAGCAAAACAGGGACCACAAAGAGCCTATACTCAAATCCTGCTAGGCACTGGTGTGGAGTATGAGCCATATAGATCAAGGTCTCTTCAACCCCCCACCCTCTTATTTTATCCTGTCTCCCCTCTCCTCTACCCTGGAACATAGTCTATGCAAAGAATCAAATCCACCTCTTGTGTGTGCCAGCACATTATACTTTAGGAAAATGATTTCATAGGGCTGTAGCCCTACTACAATAACTTGGGCCGCAACATTCTTAACCGTCCAGTAATTGGACGGTGATGACTCATGGTACCCGTCAGCGTAGTAACCGGGTCGGATGGTACGAAACCGGTATGCTGGCACTACCATTGGTTCTCCCTTTTCGGCACGCGGAGGTATCTCTCCAACTCCCTCCCTTAAGAGGCTTAAACACCTCAAAGACTCGAATAGCTTTCCATGGGTAAACCCCATTAGCTCATTTTTCTCCTCTCTTTAATATGCACAGTCAATCTCTCCCTCCCTCCTCCTTGATGCCTCTCTCTCTAACTGCCCCCATTCTTCGTCCCTGCCTCCAGCATCCCTGATGCCTCTCTTTTTTTTCTCTCTCTCTCTCTCCTGCCTTCTCTTCTACTGTAACTAATGCTGTCTCCCTCATTTAGCTCCAGGCCACTTTTATATGTTTCTCCCTTACATTGTGTTTCTGAAATTTTTGCTTTCATATGAAACAATCCTTCAAATTTGAATCCATTTTTTGAGTCAAATCCTTAATAGATCCAAATCTTTGATTGTTTTATCATTTGAATATATTTTTTTGTGGACTTACATCGATTAAATTTAGCAAAACCTGTTCAAACAAATTAAAAAATTTCATAAAGTATTCTCAAATCCAACCAAACACACCCAAAATTGTGTAGAATTTTATATATGTTCTCTCTTCCCAAGGATATGCATATGGGGCTTCAATAACAGAAACGGTCCTTGTTGTTTGTGCGTCTTATAGAGAGGCGAGGCTTAAAGTGGGTGTAGGAAATAGGATCATTTTAGAGAGAAACAGAGGCTGGGTTTACGAGGGTATGAGAGTTGCGGATTCCCTCTGTGATAGAGAGAGATGGAGTGAGAGAGAGAGAGAAGGTGGTTATGAGAGCTGTGGATCTCCCTTAGAAAGAGAGCGCGAGAGGTGGAGTGTGGGTTCAAGTGGAGAGAGAAATGTAGGTTTAGGTGGTATGAAATCTGTAGATTCTCTTGTGGTTACACCCCTTTGTCTCTCTAAAATTCTCCATGTTTTTTTTGTAGCTCCAACTGACAAATGAGCCCCACCCCCACCCGGGTCATTTGGTTGCGCCTCCTGGTGGGAGACGAGGAAAAAACGAATGCCACCGTATCTGCAGGGGCGTCCCAAAAATACAGATATTTTCAAGAAAGAAAAGAGGGAACCGGTTACCGGAAGCCCCAGTTTCATAAATTGGAAATGGTGCAAAATCTGCATCATCCTAGTAAATGAACCAAGTAAATGAACGGTGCTATTGGGCTGCAGCCCTATAGAAACTTCATCCTATACTTTAATACAACAGAGTTGACTTTCCTTAAAAAACAAAATGGATTCAGTGTTGGTATCAATGAACACGAGAATATTGCAAGAAATTCAAGACTTGAAAAACAAGATAAACGGACAGGGCAACTTCAGTGGAAAAATAATCTCACAAGCATCCAAAGAGTTAAAGGATACGGAGAGAGAGACAGGGGCACCTCCCTTGGAGCGGCTGCTCCAAACAATGAAAATAATAAAATACAAAAGCACAAAATACATCAAGATACAGGCACACATCACATAAAGAGTGCCCCCTAGACAAAAAAAAACACAACGAGGCTCACTGAGAGCACCCAGAGTAGAGAGAAGCTCCAACGCATCTGACCTTCATTGGCAGAGTCCCCCTGTGATGGAGCCGGCATAGGAGGGCAGGCCAAGCCTAGTTTACCTTCCCTACACTCGCTAGAAAATAAACCTGGAGGGTAGCCACCACGAAGGTTTATGTAACTGAACATTGTGGATGCACAAGCATATTGGTCGTCATTCAAAAGTTGAGCGAAAGGGCATGCAAATTGCTTGAAAGCAGAACAGCAAAGTGAGGGTTGGTATCGGGGCCCTTTGCATTGACTTGTGAGGATGGTATAGTTCTTGAACTCAAAGTCTTCTGGGCAATCTGCAGAGATATAACAATAAACTTAATTTTTTGAGGACTACCATAAGCATTTCATTCTATATAAAGGAGAATATCCACATGCAACAAAAAAAGAGAAGTTTGCACAGTACCATCTGTAACTGATATATAACAACTACAGATTCAATCATAATAGACAAATTGTCTCTCAACGTCTTCACCCAGTACTAATTGAGGTAAAGATGAGTGAACTTTGTGAAAAGAAAATCACTTTTAATATAAGGTCGCAGTTTGTATAAGGCGCACCTCTAAATGATACCTAAATATGTAGTTCTTGTGTCAAAAACCCATGTGATAGCTTAAAAATCTATTTTCACCCCTAACTATGAAATTTAAAGCTTAAAAAATGGTGCAGATCGAACAGATCTATAATGCCTGAAAATCTTGAAAATGGGCAGTTTGGATAATACGTGATAAAATGCACTATTTCCAGAACTTGAATTCTTCTTTTTTTTCATGTTTAGACATCCCGAGGTCAAGATGACCAATTAGAGGATTTTGGAAGGTTGGAACTACCTTTTCCAATGGATTTTCAAGGTATGCCTGACTTCAATAGTATAAGGTTGAAACCTTATATAAATTTTTTTTCTCTATATAATTCTATAAATTCGTGAACATAAATCCATGATGACCATGAAAGGGTTGAAAAGATGAACGGGGAGCCAAAGTATAGGATATAGCAAGGGCATAGGGAAGAAATTATAATCCACCAATGCTAAGCCTGTCCAATGGAGGAATGAACATAGACCAAAAAAGACAACTCATTTTCGACCTTCATGGAAAATTTTGAAAAATGAAGACTTGGATTTTAATCATGACCTATAATACATATTATTAATGGGAAACTTACAGATCAATGTTCCTTGCATGATAACTAGGGAATTCAAATGTAGCCAACATGTCCAAGATTCCGATGTAAGATATTACCATATGAGAGACGTGATTTGCATTAACACTATATTAAAAATGAAAGATAACGTCATAATACATGCAGACCTCATTGTGATTTACTACAATCTTCCTAGCTAAATATTAAACTTGATGTGATTGAAAAAAATAGTTTCAATTTTATGTCCAACATATACATGATATCATCATCATCATCATCTGAGCCTTATCCCAGCTATATGACATATATTATATTTATGTTGATCTAAGTATCAGCTGATGCCCACCACTATTGTTTCATAAAGTTGCAGATGTTGATTTAGTCCTAGATTTCATAGGCACATCTCTCAGGTGATTACATGCATGCTTATTAAATAAAAAATGCATATGAATGTGCTTAAGAAATTTGTATGATCATAAGGAAGTGGAACAACCAAGGGAAAATGAGAAAATACTAAAACAGGGACCTGCCCATGGCAGCTACAACATATTGTTGATCAAATTTTCAATTTATGCAGGCCTATGCTCATCTCTTATCAGCATACATAGTGCGAGGCAAACAATGAAGCTGACAGCCTTGCAAAAGACGGAGCCAACTCTGGAACCGACAATGGGACCATTTTGGCACATTTTTGAGCTGCGGTCCAACATTTTTTGAGTTCATCTTGCTAGATAGGGCTATCCACCCAGTTTTTGGTATAGACATCAGTATAGAAATCTCATGTTTTGGAAATGTATTGATCGCCCCCTACCTGTGGGATCTCTCTTGTAATGCTTCTTAATTTTAAGACTATTGTTAACTTTCTTCAAACCAGAAAAAAAGAAAGAAAAAAAAGAGGCCACAACAGATAACCGAAATTTTTGGATGAAGATGAGAGTGAGAAACTTCTAAACTTTTAAGGAGAAACATCCAAATAAGCCAAGATATATTTGGATATTTGCTTTATCAAAATAGTTCTGAAAGGATAGGAGTATTTTAGGAATTATAAATGTGGTCTCAAGGAATATTTTAAGAATAATGTTCATATCTGAAGATGGTCTTGGGTTCCCATTTGAAGAAAGTTTTACAAGGATCTACTGGGGATGTTTCGGTTCAAAATAAGTCAAATAGAAGAGCAAAAGTCCAGCATCTCAAAATAAACACACTTTTACAGAAGTTTTACTAGTCATTGAGAAAAAGCAATATCTGCGAGTGGCAATAGTGGAACTGGGGATGTTTTGATTCAAAATAAGTCAAATAGAAGAGCAAAAGTCGAGCGTCTCAACACAAACACACTTTTACAGAAGTTTTACTAGTCATTGAGAAAAAGCAATATCTGGGAGTGGCAATAGTGGAACTGGGGATGTTTTGGTTCAAAATAAGTCAAACAGAAGAGCATAAGTCAAGCGTCTGAAAACAAACACACTTTTACAGATGTTTTACCAGCCATTGAGAAAAACCAATATTTGGGAGTGGCAATAGTGGAACATGACGTTATAATAGAATTTTGACAACAGAACCTAGTAGGCAAATCATTTTGATGTCCCTTCAGAAGTTTCAAAAACAGGAGATCTCTAAGAGGGAAAAAACCTATGGTTTTGGGAAACAATGACCTAAAGAGAATTCAGGACAGAAGAGACCTATGGTTTTGGTTTGAGAAAGAAGAAATTCATTAGGGCTGTACCAACTTGCTTCTAGTTGAACGTTTTTTAGGTAGAAAATGCATTGTGTTAGGGAGTGCATTGAAGTTAGCTTGTTTCTGAGTTTTTATCAGGCCTTCTCAGGTAAGAGTTTCCACTGAAGGTTTCAAAGATGCAATTTTTCTCTAATTGTATGTAGGTTACTTTTAAAATCTAGTAGAATAGATTAACTTTATTTTTTAGCATCTATGATGCGTGGTTTCTGGTTTGGTTTAGAACCTGAAAACCATAAATCAATGTAACAGTGGGATTCTTTCTCAACTAAGCGCATTTGCCACTTGTCATGCGGTCTCCCAATGATGTATCCACAAGAAATTTCTATTTTTTCTAATATTTATTTTTATATTGCTTATTCTCGAGATTTTCACCAGTAAAATAGGCCATTGAACTTTCTTCTAAAATATAGGCCATTGAAGTTGATAGTGCAATATTATAAATAAAGATGAGCTCTAATTAACTACTACCTGTATGGGAAGACTAGAAGACAAACTACAGCCAGAAATGTTAAAAGTGGGATCAGCCCTCTAGATATTTGATTGGCATTTCATTTGCCAAATATAGTTTTCTCATTAAGTGTTATTTAAGTTTAAAAGCCAAAAAAATGGAAAAACATCTCAAGACAATTTGGCTGAACTCCATTTTACTGAAGAAGAAAAAACATGCATAGTCAATTCCTGTCAAGTGAATGGTTCAAATCATTTCGCTGGCTAAACAATATTAAGGCTGTTTAATAGAGACAATTGACAAACAACAAATTTGAAAAAATTCCTTAGAAACTATGCAAATTGATCTAATTTAATTAAGGCAAAGCATCCGATTCCACTAAAAATTTATCGACCAGAACCCCTAATATCACAAGCTATTAAGGATTAACCTACATCTAAAACGTCTGATGAATATCATGTTGCATTGCTAAAATAGGATTAGGCATCATAGTCACCAGCCAGCCAGCCTACAACAATAACACACTCTTCAGGCAAACATATAGAGCCATTGCTACTTAGCCCCGTTGGTTTGCCAAGATTACAATGTCGAAACTAAGACCATAGTTAAGAGAATCTTGCTAAAGACAGAATATTTCTGTAAATTGCAGAGAACGTGCAATCGTCAACACAACTAACAAGAAGTTAAACATTTGGAAGAACAGATGCACGTAAATCATCTAATTTCCAAAAGCAGAAACCCAAATAATTTTCCAAGAAACTCCTTTCACCATGCTATGAAGGCATAGGAAGATCTCCCATATAATTTCTATATGATTCCTAACTAGATTCTTGAGCCTTTAAGAATAAGGGAAAATATCAATTGAAGGGTCAAACTACCACAAAATCATTAAAAGTGTGAAACCATCCTATTTGACATTAGGAGTGTTGCTTTTTAAGTTTCATTTCATATAGATTCATCTTTAAAAAAATATAGTAAAAAATAACCAAATTGCCCTTGTTCAGGATCAGGTTCACCAAACAATTGGGGGCATTTTGGTAATTTAACTCAACTTGAGTGGTCGAAGCAAATGACAACCCCCCCTCCCCCCCAAAAGAAACATCTAAAATAGGATGATTTGATACCTAGATGATGTTTCGATTTCTTCACATTCCCAGACCCACTTCCCTATTTTGACATCCCCCCACAAATCCAATCCAATGTTTAAAAACGAGAACTCGGGTGGCATCTCACTAGGGTCCCAAGCCCGAGTCAAGTGCGAAGAACTCAATGGAGGCCGAATCCAAATAATAAGAAAATGGGAATCGGCCAAACTCAATAAGTTCCATGGGTTTGGTTCCAATCTCGGTAGCTTGCCGAGTCGAGTCCGAGTCTAGCTCGCCAAGGTTTCATCCACTAATATAAACGTCTGCCATAGCTAAACAAAGGAAAAAATGATACATGATCATATGTTCCAAAACGTTGACAAGCACTTCAAAAAAAATTCAAATCCAGAGTTGCATAATTTCTGAAACAAATCCAACTAATTCTAAAAAAACTAATGAAACATGCAAGTCAGCAATCACCAAGAACACTAACATGTAAGCCTCATATACTATAGAGAATCCAATTTTCATGAAAATTAAAATTAAAAATGTAACAAGCTAACTGAAATTATTTATTTCCGAAACCTATTCAAATGTATCAATTTAAAAAGGATGAGGTTTCTATAAGGGCTAGGCTTTATGAAAACAAAATAAAGCCTCATATCAAATCCTCGCCTAGAAAGGACTTTCGGCGAAGGAAATCGCCATGATGGCTCTAAAATCAATTTCCAACATCAATAATAAAAATTGAAAGTAAAAAAATGGTACAGATCTGCAAGATCTGTGAACACTTATTTTTAGAGTGAAATGGACGGTCAATATAATTCGTTACAATATACACTATTTTTAGAGCTTGAAATCCTATTTTTTTCACAACTATAATGTTCAAGTTGAGATGATCGATGTAAAGTTTTTCAATGCTTAAATTGTAATTTTGAATGAGTTATGAGGCGGGGCTTTACGTACTTTGATAGGGCTGCAAAACCATTTTCCATTTAAAAACCCTCAATCTCATTGGTTAAATTAACTAGACAAAATTAGAACAAAAAGATCCTAATTTAAGATATATTAATGTTCTAAGAACAATTTTATCTTTTCTATTTTTTGACTATTTTGATACAATAATGAACAGTGGAACAGAAAATAAGAGATCTACAGGTACCATTATTTCAAATATTCAAAACGATTTTTTTTTTATATATAAAATTCGAACCAATTTTTGTGAAGAACATTTCCCTGATTTATGTTGAGGTCCAAAATTCGAATTGAAATTTTTATTTGCCCGTTTCTTATGGATAATGGAACAAAACAAGGCAACAGGTTTACATGCTATGAGCTGAACGGAAAAAGATTATCATAGAAATCCACAGAAGTGAAACAAATTGAAATTCATCAAAAAAAAAAAAAAGGAGACATATTGAAGCAAAAAACTCACTCTTCTTCTCCTGGAGGAGGCTTCTTCCAGTGACTCCATGAGATTCAAACACATTATCTGTAAATTCACAACAAAAAAATGGAAAAAAGTAATATGAATGCATATGGCAAGAAAAAACAAACAAATGACCAGAAATTTGAGGGCACGAACGGTTTAACAAAACGATCTGCAAATTTCTTAAAGAAAAAGGAAACAGAAGCGAAATGGAGAGGATTCTCAATGAACAAAAGAAGAAAACTCAAATTTATCAACATTCAAAAACATTGAGCTGATATGACCAAACAATCATCAAATTCTCAAGAGAGAGAGAGAGAGGATATGAGACTCAAATGTTAATGATGTGCTGAATTCACACCTGAGATGGAGGTGGAAGAAGCGAAGCCTATGAAAAGGAAGCTAAAGACCGCGGCCATGGAGCAGCAAAAAGCCATGGCCGGCGACGCCATTGCAGAGAGACAAGAAGAGAGAGAAACTCCAATCTCCTCCTTGAAGAGCCTCCTCCTTTTCAGGTTTCAGAGAAGGATTAAAAGGAGAAGACGAATGAAACCAATGGCTCTCTGTTTAGAGAGAGAAGGAGACAGCAGATCGCAAGGACTCGGTCGCGCTGGCTGGAGAGAAGAAAAGAGAGCCAGATGAGAGAGAGAGAGGGGGGGGAACGCGGTTTTCGGGAGCTGTCCTCCTCGTTCTCGAAATATGTTAGGGGGGGAAAAGTTTGTATAGATCCTAGGATCTAAACAATCAAATTAGAACCTACTTCAAAAGTTTACTAGAAGAGGTTGTATTGATGCTCAAATATATTCAAATTGATCATCTCTACATCAAGATGCATGAACATGAGAAAAAAATTAGATTTTAAGTCTTAAAAATAATGCATCTTGTAATACATTTTAAGACCGTCAATTTTTTAGATTTTCAAATATTAGTGAATCCGCTAGATATATAGTATTTTTGAACCTTTCAATTTTATAATTAAAGATGAAAATATATTTTAAAACTATCACAAAAATTTATAGTATTGAAGCAATATTTTTCAATTCTATTTGAAGGTGGGATTTAATTCGATTGTTTAGAGACTCGGCTCTGATCAAACCGCACCCAATATGTAAAGAAGAGTTATCGTTTGGAGAAATTTGTTCTCAATCAAATTGCCGATTGGTCACTATTAGGAGGGATAAATTATCAAATGGGGTTCTATTTCTCTAAAATTACGAGTACACCCCCGCTCGACTCCCCACATAGCGACAGTTTAGAGAGAGAAAGAGGCGTCACTCGCTTTGAGTTAGAGAGAAAAAGAGGCATTACTCCCTTGCTGCAATGCAAAGTGCGCCTCTCCTTTCTCTGAGTCGAAGTCTTGCACTTGCAAGCCCCACATGGACATGGACATGGACTGTTGCCCCTTCCTCCTCCCCCTCTGCTGCTCATTTTTTTGGGTTCTAGAGAGAGAAGGCGGTGGTGTTTAGGAACATTAGTTTCGGAATTTGGGGTGCTTCTGTTTTCTGGTGGTTGAGGTCTAGAGAGAGAGAATGATGGGTTTAGGGAGTTGGGTATTTGCTTGAATTGTGGCCCTTTCTCATGGGATCAATGGATCGTGAGTTTATGGTGTTTAGAGAAATGGGTTTTGGGCTCTTGGAGTTAACCTTGGAGAGAGACTGATGGTACTTTTTACAGAGATGGGATTTGGGGTGTTTGGGTCTGGTGACTCAAGTTTAGAGAGAGAATACATCGAGGAGTTTTTGATGCGCTGTGATTAACATTTATTTGGCTGAGAACGTTATCCTTGTTCTACAGCTAATAATTTTCTCAAAGGACTGTTACCGAGTACTGCTGACTTTTTCTACAAGTTATTTTGATTCGATTGAAGTCTTTTGTTTCTGATCTTTTTATCTTCTATTCTTTTACGTGTTTTCTATTTTTTTCCGTTCCAAGTTTGGATTAATCTAAGGAAAAAGTTTCTATAAGGATGCCACCGAACTAAGATGCCCTTCAAAAATCTATTGGAAAATGGTAGTTTTAATGTTGAAAAATCCTTTGATCGATAATCGAGATATATGATTATACAAAAATAAAAAAATTAGAAGTCTAAAAAATAATGTATTTTATAACATATTATCTACCCCGTTCATTTTCATATGTTTATGGATCTACTTGATTTTAATTATTTTTGAAATTTAAATTTTATAATTAGATATAAAAATAGATTTTGAAATAATCCTAAAAACATTTTACATCAAAATTATATATCGTCATAAAATTTGAAGGTACACCTTACCTCTACACCTACGGATGCATCCGTAGGCAAACTGTACCCTTAATCTAATTACCCCCAAAGAAAAAATAAAGTATGGATTAATCTGAGAGTTACTGGCAACTTGTCTATGTCTTCTACTGTTTATTTCGATACCAGACCAACGATATGATGAATACAGGAGGAGTTCTGATGTAATGGTGATGTAAACCGCTGTTTCTCTCTCTGAAAATTGCAGGGATGTTGCAAAACTCTCTCTAAATGAATGGCGCGTGATGTAAACCTCCTCTTTCTCTCTTTGTGAATATAGGACTACCGATAATATGATGAATATAGAACTGCTCTTTTTATTTTTTAAAAAATAGTCCGGTATTTGTATTGTGAGATAGGAGAGCAGCTTAAGAAAAAAAACACACCGATGAGAGGGAAGTTCCGTAGTGGTAATTTTGGAAAAATAGGACATCATTTGGTAATTGACATGTTGGTAGGTAATTTGCTATTTATTTATTTATAAAATTATATCATTAATAGAAAAATAGTTTGATAGGGCTTCAGCTCTACCAAAATAAATAGAACCTCACCTCATAATTTATCAAAAATTGTAATGTAAGCATTGAAAAACCTTTACATCGATCATCTCGGTTTGAACATTATGATTGTAAAAAAAAAAATTGGATTTCAAACTCTAAAAATACTGTCTATTGTCATAAATTATCTAGATTGTAAATTTCGCTTTGAAAATATGTGTTCATAGATCCACAAGATCTGTACCATTTTTTAAGTTTCAGAATTCATTATCGGCGATAGAAATTTATTTTAGAGCCATTATAGGGATTTTTGTTACCGAAAGTTCTTTGAGAATGTGGATATGGTATGCGGCTTTATGTTGTTTTTATATAACCTAGGCCTCATGGAAACTTCATCCTTTTCAAATCTTTTGCAAAGTCTCCCCACTTTCAGGAGTCAAGTCATCACTCAACGACCTTTTGATGAATTTTTTTTTTAAATTGTGACTTTAAACCCCTCGTTTCAGGGACTTAATGATTTTACGTCCCTATATCAATCAAATTATAGCCTATTGTCAAATGGTATCGAGAAATATGTTTCAATATGGAAAATCCTTGGGATAGCTTTAAAATATATTTTTATATTTATTTATAAAGTTTAAAGTTTCAAAAAAGAATGTCGATCGACAGATCTATGAACATTTAAAAATCTTGAAAATTGACGGTCCAAAAATACGTTACAAAATACACTATTTTCAAAAATAAATCTTTTTTTTTCTCATTTCCATGCATCTTGATATGGAGATGATTAATTTGAAAATATTTAGGCATCAAAACAACCTCTTCTAGTGAGAGTCTTGAGTTAGGCTCAAATTTGATTGTTTAGAGCCTCGGCTCTATATAAACTTTTCCCTTTTGAAATACCCACCCCTAAATAAATTTATTTTTGATATAAATTTGGATCCTAATTTTTAGAAAATATATAATGAATATGAATAAATAAATAAAATTTGAAAACTATAAATAATAAATCTATTAAAAAACATTTGGACCATTAGTTTCAATTGTTATTAGATGAACCACCTATTAGCATCCATCTTCTGTACCTCTCGATCGCATGTTGTACAAATGCGATCCAGCCCGCATGAAACAATTGAATTTTTATTAGAAGGAAATTTTATAAATTACTAGTATGAATGTTGAAGATCAGATTTCTCAAGTGTCCAAGCCAAGAATCATAAAGTCCTGACTTCGAAGCCAACACGAAACATAGGCCAAGAGTCTTGGGTTCAGGCCATTAAGAATTCCAATCTCCAATAAGTAGTTGGGCCATGTCAACAAAGCAAATCATGTCCTCTAATGGGTTGTGTCATATTGTGTGCAGGAGGCAACAATGGTAGCCCAATCCTCCACCACCCAAAGAAAATCATGTCTTGTGGGGAGGCAATTTTTTCTGCTACGGTCAAAATATTATAATTGGCCTGGACCCAGGCTCGACTTGGATCCGACTTTGGTCCAGGGTTTTCGGACTTGGGTTTGGACCCAGACCTGGATCGGGTCGATTCTCTAGGTCATTGGGTTGACTTGACCCGATTGTCACCTTTATTTGAGCCAAATTACGAAAATACATTTGATTGTCAAGGATTAGGGATAAGAACTAAAAAATAACGAAAATACCATTTGTTGCATGTTGTTAACTTTGAACAAGGAAATGTATTTTTTTAAATTTTTTTTTTAATAGTTTAGATTGAGTTACTTAAGTGGGCCAAATTACAAAAATTCCCTAATTATCCGAATTCTCGACCTTAAATTAGAACAATTTGAGAATTCTTGAACAAACCTTTTGTGCAAGGCACTTTTATAAAAACAAATTAAAAAATTAAACCCCAAATAGAATATTCTAAGTGGTATTGAAAGTTGACCCCTCAAATCTGTTAGACAATTTAGTTCCTTAATTTCATAATCAAAATAAGTTTCAAAGTCTATCCTAGTTTTTACCCCTAAACTGTAAATTGGTAATTTAAGGTGCCATTTTACATCTTGTGCCAAAACGTAAACAGTCTCCAGTGTATAATCCTCGTAAAAAAAAAAAAAAATGAAGTCGCTACATCTCAAATTCAATTCTTGCCCCAACCTAACAGAAGAAGTTATAAAGAGCGAACCGCACCCTAATAAGGAAAATATAATGTATTTGTCTTTACTTCATGATTTGACACAATTTTCATATTATTAAGGTTTTAACCAATATTTGCAAAACTGGCCAATTAGATCGGAACGGCTAGGGTTCCGACTCTAGTTGGGGCCAATTTTGGGGTTCTAGCATGTAAAAAGATCCGGTCCAAAACCGGCCGATATCTAGTCAAATCGGCCATTTTTATATTAAACTGACTGGTTTTTTTGCAAACCGGACTGGTTAGTTTAAAAAACGGCATGTAGCATGCCTGTTATTTTTAACCGGGGCTGTTATTTGATACAGAAGTCACATGTTTCTTTTGATTGAACATTTGATTACATTTTCCATGTATTTTCAGCTTTATACAAGTTTTTACAGTTAATAATTGATCGAAATTTTTGGTTTTCTTCTATAAATCAATCGATTTGAGATTAACATGGCACCAAAATTCCATTTTCTTGGCCTTTTTTGGGTATGCTTCAAAGTTTCGTGAAAAATCTACCAATCCAAAGATCTTGGCCTCTTTTTTGAGCATTTCTCCATCAAAATGGAGGGATTTTATTGATGTAAGAGATATCAACACTGCTACACTCTTTATTTGATTGAAATCTAACAATGCAAGTTTTATCCCGATTTTTTTTGAATTTTTTTCCTACTTTTTCTTCCTCTTTTAGAAATTTTCAAACAATATTTGAATGAAATTATTAATTGCATTCAATAAAAGAA